CACTCGTGGGGATCCCTCATTCCCAGGCAGTCTCAGTCTCAGGTGCCCAACCCAAAGATCCGGACCCTATGAAGTCAGGGGTGGGAAGTCCCCTTATGCCATCCTAAGCCTGAGGGGGCGCGGGGTGGGGGTGTGGGTGGGCAGAGGGACTGCCACTGGGGAATGGATTCGAACTCGGGATGCAGGAGTTTCCAGATGTAGAGATCAAATCTTAATGGTGAAGGCCTGTACACCCTCTCTGGACCTACTACCCCCATTTTCCCAGGCTCAAGAGCTACGCCTGGTACCATCACTGCACACCCCCAACCACAGGCAGAGCAGGCCATTTGCCTGTAGGAAGGAGCCTCCCCACTCAGGAACCCCCTGTAAGGTTCCCTGACCACACCCTACCCACTCAGGACCCCCAGGGGCTGAGATCCTCTCTTGCCCACACACTCTTCCAATTCTGCAGCTGCTGAGTTTCCCCCAGCCAGCACCAGCCACTGCTGAGTGAGAGGGTGCAAGTCTTAAGTGGGGCTGAGCTTCCCAACACTTCCTGCCTTGACTTTGGTCAAGGATCCAGCCCTCCAACCCTTGCCCGACTCTGCCTTCCTCCCTTCACACTCTGGAGGAAGACGGACTAATCCCTGAGCTCTTCACTCCTCCTTCCCCAGCTAAACCTCAGGAAGTCACAGCTGTTAGGAACAGGATGTTGAAGCCTTGGGGCTGGGGGCCCAGAATGAGGAATGTGGGTTGCACGTGTGGGTCCTCCTCCCCCAAAGGTGACCGACCTTTTCCTCATCACTTCAGTCACTCTGATGGACACGAGCACAGCACAGGGAGAGCTGGGCTGGCTGCTGGATCCCCCAGAGGATGGGGTAAGTGTCAAGGGAGGGGAAGGCTCAAAGCTGCAGGCCAGTGGGAAATGGGCGGAGAGGTGGGTGGAGGAACGGAGAAAAGAGCAGGAAAAACTGGAAGTGTCTCCTCAGGGAGGGGGAAGGGAGGTGAGTCAGAGCCTCCTGAATGGGCCATTTGGGGGGGGTTCAGGCTTCACCCCAGAAGAACGCTTCAATGCCTGGCTCCTCCCCTCCCTGCCCCAGAGAGAGAGAGGACTTGGGAGGTGATGAGACCACAGTCCCCCAGGCAGAGGATGAACGGGACCAGGGATGCAATCATTGAGGGCTAAGAACCAAAACACCAGATGTATCTTCAATGTGAGGTCCATCTATCCCAATAGAGTTGCACAGACAGACTTCAGAGGGTCAAGGGTCAAGGAATCCCATAAAAGTGGATCCTAAATTGCATAGATGTATGGGGATATTCTTTTCTGGATAGGAAAGCCAAAGTTTTCTGCAAGTTCTTCAAACAGTGTTTGCCTCCCCAAAATTCAAAGCTGCCCTCCCAACTAGAGGTCCCTGAGCGCTTGGCACCTTGTCCATTTTCCTCAGCCCAGGCACAGCATGCATTCCAGCTGTCTGAACCTGCTCCAAGTCCCTTCCCTCCACAGATATTCCTAAGACCTAGTGAGCAGAGAGACGTTCTTGTGAGTCCCAAAGCACACCTTTCCATCACTCAGCAGAGCTGGCCGCAGAACCCCAGGAGGCTGCCCTTGCTGTCTCAGCTTCCTGGAGTCTGGCCTCAGGGCCTCCTTCCCTCTGGTCCTGGACCCCTTTGGCCTTCCTATTCGTGTAGGAATGCAGCCTCTATTTCTGGTATTGGGGTCACCTGCTTTCTTTCCCTCTGGGTCCTAGGGTCCTGGCTCTACTCTTAGTTCTCCCACAGAGTGGCCTATAATTAGAATTAATAGACTAAACCATAATGTATCCTACAGGAGGGGCTGCTTGGAAAATCCTGGATTAGGCCAGCCGTAATAGGCGCCTCATCTCATAAAGCAGCTAATCACTCCACAATGAGGGCTGCAGGTCCATTAGCTGGCTCCCACAGGCCTTCGCTGTGCCCCAGCCACCCCCACCCAAATAACTCTTCCCTAATTGGGCTGGAGTGGGAGCAAGGCCCCTTGTGCAGCTCAGGTCAAACAGCATATGTAATGCATATATGCACATATATATGCATATATATGCATTATATACATATATAATATATTTGCACCGGGAGGGCAAGAAGACGGGAGCAGTTACAGACTCCCAATGTCTGCCGTGTCCCCTCCCCTCATCTCACACACATGCACTCGGATTCAGGCTCACCAGAAGGTACCCATGTAGCAGCCAGCAGCCCAAGTGATAAGTGAAAGGATCCTTGTTGCTGATCCTGGGCAGCTGGTTCTCCCCCATCTGTCACCGCTGGAACTGGGAAAGGCAAGTCACAGCTGGGAACATCTGCTCCTCCGGGCTCCAGCTGCAGCCATGACAATCTAGCTCATGAGCTGCACATTAACCGCCTACCACCCTTCCACCTGACCTCCACGCCATGCCTTCCCCTTGGGCTTCCTCATCACAGCTTCCTGCTAAGAACAGGCTCCGGATGCCTTCACTGCTGGACACCCCCTGCCCAATCTTTGAACTGCCTCACACAGCGCAAAATTATGTACCTCATATACTCCTGCCCCTGCCACACCCCACCCAATTCTCAGTTGAGGGTGCTTTCCCCTACTTTTTCCCAGAGCTGAGAGTAGCAATGAAAGCCCTTACAGAAGATGTTCTAAGGGCCTCAGACTCCTCTTTAAGGCTCAGGTCAAGATCTCATGGGTTCGTGAGTTTGAGCCCCTTGTGGGCTGACAGCAGAGAGCCTGCTTGGGATTCTCTCTCTCCTCTCTTTCTCTACCCCTCCCCCACTCACATGCACTCCCTCTCTCAAAAATAAAGTAAACTTTAAAAAAAAGTAATTTAAAAATAACAAGGAAGAAGAAGAATGTGAAGTTACATCTCCATTTCATACTTTACACCAAAAAATAAATTCTAAGGAGATTAAAATCTAAACCTAAAAACGAAATCCACAGAAATATGAGGAGAAAATACACAAGATCCTTATAAGTTTGGGATGAGAGAGCTTCCCAAGCAAAATACACGACCTAGAATTCATAAAGGGAGAGAAGATAGACGTTACTGTGTAAAATTTTTAAATGTAGGCCAACATCAAAGATATCATTAGCAAATTAAGTGGCATGACAGGAAGAAAACATTTGAAACATATTTCAAGCAAACGATTAGCATCTATGATGTAAAAGAAAAAAAAAAAGGTTCATCCAAATGAACACTCAAAAGGTAACAGGCAAAGTTTACAAACACATAACTACATAAAAATACAGATAGCCAATGAACACAATAGAAACGCACAGCCTCCTTCTCAAAAGAAATGTAAATTAAAATGGCAGGAAGCTGTGTTTTGTCCATAAGAGAGGCCAAAAGTGAAGAGATCTTCAATATCCAGTTTCTCAAAAAAAAAAAAAATGAGCCCTCATGCATTGTTGGTGAAAGTATAAATTGATAAATCCTTTTTGGAGGCCAATTTGACAGTACCTTCTTACAAAGTTTATAATATTTACCTTTTAATACAGTACTTCTACAGAAATCTTATAGAAATCTACACATTTACTTAAAAAAAAAACTAGAAGCTACCTAAATGTCCAACAATAGGAGAATAATTAAATAAATTACGGTACATCCATACAATGGAATACTATTTTATGGATTGCTAAAAAGACTTAGGTAGATCTTTTTATACTCTCGTGAACATCTTTCAAAGACTTTTTATTTGTTAAAAACAAAACAAAAAGTAGGTTACAAAATAACAGGTTAAAAAATTATGTTAAAAACACAGAAAAACATTCAAATGTTTCTCTAGAAGCACTGAAAATGGTCTTGGGAGCTTCACTCCAAATCGTTAAGAATAACTTCCCGTGAAGAGGTAGTCGGGTGGGAGGACTTTCACTTTATATTATATATGTTTATTCTTTGACTTTAAAAAAAAAAAACTTACTCATTTTGAAAGTGTGTTCATGTTGGGGGGGGGGGGTGCGGAAGGGTGAGAGAGAAGCAACTTAAGCAGTAGCTGGGCACAGTCAGCTCAGGGCCCCACGTGGGACTTCAATCCATGAACCTTGAGATCATGACCTGAGCCGAAGTCGGACGCTTAACAGACTGAGCCACCCAGATACCCCTTCTTTGACAGACTGAGCCACCCAGATGCCCCTGGGTGCACATCCCAGCTCTGCCTCCTAATGACTGAGTGCACAGGGCAAGTCACTTAACCTCATTGTGACTCAGTGTCCATCATGGAAAGTGTTTATAACAGTGACTGGTGCATGGTAAGTCCTGTATTAGTGCTAGCCATTGTTATTACTAAGTTTAAAAATAAAATGCTTTTGGGGCTCCTGGGTGGCTCAGTCGGCTAAGCATCCCACTTCAGCTCAGGTCATGATCTCACGGTTCGTGAGTTTGAGTCCCGCATCGGGCTCTGTGCTGACAGCTCAGAGCCTGGAGCCTGTTTCATATTGTCTCCTTCTCTCTCTCTGCCCCTCCCCTGCTTGTGCACTATCTCTCTCAAATATAAATAAACATTTAAAAAAACTTTTAATAAATAAATAAAAATAAAATGCTTTTCGTGTAAAAGCAATTAACGGGGGTGGACTAGATAGTGTCTACGAGTCCAAGCAACCCCATCCATTGTTGATTTTGATAGTGACCATAACTGGAAGAAATACTGGAGAGGGTGAGTTCCTTCCATACAGAAGAGATTTATGCTTGTTCGTGCCCTCCAAAAGCTTAGGGGCCTTAATGTTAAAGGTAGTATCCTCTTTTCTACACAAATACGCAGAAAGGTTTTGTGAATGAGTTTCTGCCATAAAAGTCGGCCTTTGGGGCACTTGACAATCCTGACTGATGAGACAGGTAAAAAAGCGGTGCTCACACTTCTGCAGCTGAAGTGGGCTCACTGAAGAGATCGGGGCTGGCTGCAGATCGCATGGGGGTATTGTCTTGCCCATCCTGTATCCAAATAAATCCTGACTCTAAACATTTAGCTTCTTCTCCTGGAGCCCGGGGGGGTGGAAAGAGAGCAGGACAAGCAGGTGAACTGGGGGATCTCTGACACCAGCTTCCCCATCATCAGCTCTAGAAAACCAGAGTTTAGGGAGCAGGTGATGACTTGGATGGAGCCTAACTGGGAGTTTTCCTTCTCGCAGTGGAGTGAAGTGCAGCAGATACTGAATGGGACACCCCTCTACATGTACCAGGACTGCCCACTGCAAGATGGCGGGGACACTGACCACTGGCTGCGCTCCAACTGGATTTACCGGGGGGAGGAAGCTTCGCGTGTCCATGTGGAGCTGCAATTCACCGTGAGGGACTGTAAGAGCTTCCCCGGGGGAGCCAGGCCTCTGGGCTGCAAGGAGACCTTCAACCTCCTGTACATGGAGAGCGACCAGGACGTGGGCATTCAGCTCCGACGGCCCTTGTTCCAGAAGGTGCTTCTACCCCGCCCCACCTCCCACCCCTGCCACTTTGGTCCTAACACTGGTTCCTGCCCCCGCTCAGCTCAGGAAAAGAGACAGCGGCAGAAGAAAGAGAAAGAGGATCTAGGTGTCCAATAAGGACAAGAATGCGGGACTAGCAGTCAGAAGAGGTGGATTTGAGTAGCGTAGACGCCCCCTGACCTGCGGGACATACGTCCCAGGACCACCCCCCCCCCCACCCCCGGGATGCCTGCACAGACAGTACTGAACCCCGATACATACATTCCCGCAGTTAAGCTTTCACGTATAAATCAGGACGGAGCCAGAGACACAACACTGGCTCGTAATAAAATAAAACAATGATAACAGTACACTGTAATATAAGTTATCAAAGTATAGTCTCTTTCCCTCCCCCTCTGTCTCAAAATATTTCACGTGCTGTACTCACCCCTTTCCACGTGGCGCTGCGAGATAACAAAACGCCTCTCCAGGAGAGAGAGCGAGGAGCGAAGCACCGCTGAGTCCTGTCGTCAGCCTGTGACGTGACGTGACGTGGCGTGGCGTGGCGTGGCGTGGCGTGGCGTGGCGTGACGCCGGCGCACCTGGCTACTATTGACCTTCTGACGCAAGGTCAGGAGGAGGAGCCTCTGCTCGCAGGCGTGGTTGACAGCCCTGCCGGCTTTGACAGCTGCGAAGCTGAAGCCGCGAAAGCCGGACCGCGGATAAGGAGGAGCTGCTTTGCCTTTTCTGCTCCGTCCGGCCTTTGCGCTCTGCACTTAACCTCTGAGAGGTTTTCTTGTCTTAAAATAGTGGTGATAATAGTGCCGGCCTTATCTGTTTCGGCGGCTTTGCCTCCGTTGAGATAACGGCATTCCCTGGTGGAGGTATTTGGACTTTTGCTATCAGCACCCAGGCTGCTTGCGAGTGACACCCCGTGGGTCTACCTAGAGCTGTGTAGGGAGACACTTCTCTGCAGGCTCTCTCTCTAATACCATCCCTCTCTTTCCTACTCAAGAAGACGTACCGGAATGCAAAAGCGTAAGAAGCATATTATTATAGGACGTGCTCGTTTTTGTTTTTGTTTTTTCCCAAAGAGAAGATGTTGTAAAGTTTGTTATTAGTAATAAATGAATGATGACGCACTTCATAACTGATCACCTCATTGGCACAGACGCTGGGAACACCTTCGAATAGTGGAAATTATATGGGCTATAGCGTCTCACTGCCTGGTTACCAGTCCCATCATGTAGCTGTGTGATCTTGCCCAAGGTCTCTAGCCTCTCTTCGCCTTAGTTTCTTCATCTGTTAAGTGGGGATGGTAATCCATCCTACCTCGTAGGTTTATTGCAAGGACTCAACAGCATAACACACATAAGACGCTTAGCCAGTAGCTCACAAGTCATAAGCCCTTGGTTTACAGTTGTGTAAACTATACTTTATTTATTTATTTATTTTATATTTTAATGTTCATTTATTTTGAGAAAGAGACACAGAGTATGAGTGGGGGAGGAGCAGAGAGAGAGGGAGACACAGAATCGAAAGAACACTCCAGGCTCTGAGCCGTCAGACCAGAGCCCTACATGGGGCTGGAACCCATAAATCGTGAGATCATGACCTGAGCCAAAGTAAGAGGCTTAAGTGACTGAGCCACCTGGGCACCCCTAAAGTATTTTTTTTAATGTTTATTTATTTTTGAGAGAGAGAGTACAAACATGGGAGGAGCGGTGGGGTGGACAGAAGGTGCAAAGCAGGCTCTGCACTGACAGCAGAGAGCCCGATGTGGGGCTTGAACTCATGAACCATGAAATCACGACCCGAGCTAAATTCAGACGCTCAACCACTGGGCCACCCAGGCGTCCCTGAACTATAAAGTATAGAGCAAACACTGTTTTCTGTCCCATGGGAGTGAAGCATGACTTTACCATCCCCTTCTTGCACACCTCTCCTTCCCAGGTGACCACTGTGGCTGCAGACCAGAGCTTCACCATCCGAGACCTCGCATCTGGCGCCGTGAAGCTGAACGTGGAGCGCTGCTCCTTGGGCCGCCTGACCCGCCGAGGCCTCTACCTCGCTTTCCACAACCCAGGTGCCTGCGTGGCCCTGGTGTCTGTAAGGGTGTTCTACCAGCGCTGTCCTGAGGCCGTGCAGGGCTTGGCCCGATTCCCCGACACCCTGCCCGGACCTGGCGGGTTGGTGGAAGTGGCAGGGACCTGCTTGCCCCATGCCCAGGCCAGCCCTGGTCCGGCGGGTGCACCGCGCATGCACTGCAGTCCGGAGGGTGAGTGGTTGGTGCCCGTGGGCCGATGCCACTGTGAGCCTGGCTATGAGGAAGGCAGCAGCGGTGAAGGATGCCTGGGTAAGGAGGCCGGAGGAGGTGGTGGGCACTTGCAGGGGCCACTCGGGGGAGGGCCTCCAGGTGCCGAGGGAGGGAAGGAGGTCCACGCTTCATCTCCGCAAAGTGTTGACTGTGTGGCTGAGCACCCCAGGAGACACATGCAGGGTGCTTCTGGTACAGAGGATTGGAGGCGGTGGCGAATGGGGATGATTCTGCCTGTAAACACATTGGCCAACCATGGCTCTGCTGCTTTCTCCCTCCAGCCTGCCCTAGCGGCTCCTACCGGGCAGACACAGATGCACCACATTGTCTCAAGTGTCCAGAGCACAGCACAGCCGAGCCCGAGGGGGCCACCGTCTGCACCTGTGAGAGCGGCCATTTCCGAGCCCCGGGGGAGGGCCCCCAAGTGGCGTGCACGCGTGAGTCCAAGGGGGAGGGCCTGGCCATCTGTGAGGAAGCGCAGGACTTTTGGTGAGCCCATGTTAAGGTCGAAGTTTTCCGGAACTTTTCAGAAATTGGGCACCATTTAAAGTGCCAGACGTTAGAGCTCCTCCCCCTCCCCCCACTTTCCTGGAAGAATCCAGAGCTGAGCTGGGTCTGAATCCAATCTCCCAGCAAGGCCTTCGGCGGTGGGAGGAGGCAGGGGCCAGCAGGCTAGATGAGAGCAAAGTTGGTTCCTCCTAATGGCCCCTCTTCTCCTTACAGGGCCCCCCTCAGTTCCCCGAAACCTGAGCTTCTCTGTTTTGGGGACTCAGCTCTCCCTGCGTTGGGAACCCCCAGCAGATATGGGGGGGCGCCAGGATGTGAGGTACAGTGTGGGGTGTTCTCAGTGTCGGGGAGCAGCAGTGGACGGGGGACCCTGCCAACCCTGCGGGGGAACTGTGCGCTTTTCCCCGGGAGCCAGCGGGCTCACGGCACCGGCTGTGCGTGTCAACGGCCTTGAACCCTACGCCAACTATACCTTTAACGTTGAGGCCCAGAATGGAGTGTCGGGGTTTGGCCCGTCCACGCATGCCAGCACCTCACTGAGCATCAGCATGGGGCACGCAGGTGAGTGACCTGGGCAGGGGCCAGGACAGGACTGGAGGAAACCAGAAGGGCTCAGGACCACAGAGACAGATTGACGGGCAGAAAGCAATCAAAAAGCGACTTAGGTTCTTTCTTCTTTCTTCCCAAACCCCCTGGAACCCTCTTGACTCACAGAGTCACTGTCAGGCTTGTCCCTGAGGCTGGTAAAGAAGGAGCCACGGCAGCTGGAACTGACCTGGGCAGGGTCCCGGCCCCGCAGTCCAGGGGGGAACTTGAGCTACGAGCTGCATGTGCTGAATCAGGTGAGGATGAGGCAGAGGGACAGTCCCTGGTGTCTGGGTGTCTGTTCTGGGGCACAACTCGCCATTCCTAGCCTGGGTGATGGGACGGAGGGAGAACTGGCTGAAGTGAATGGTGTGGCTTTCTCAGGACAAAGCCTGCAAACAGCCCTGCCCTGACCATTCCCCAAGCCACCCCTGTCCACATGATCCCAAGACTGCCATCGCCTCCACCAGGTCTCTCTCTGCACAGCCCAGTTTCCATTGGTTCTCATCCACAGGACGAAGAAAGGCACCAGATGGTTCTAGAACCCAGGGTCTTACTGACCGAACTGCAGCCAGACACCACGTACATTGTCAGAGTTCGAATGCTGACCCCTCTAGGCCCTGGCCCTTTCTCCCCTGACCATGAGTTCCGGACAAGCCCTCCAGGTGGGTGGGTTATCCTGTGTTCTGCCCCAAACACACATGCACCCGTCATCCCATCGAGGCTTCTCAAACACTGCTCCAATCAGTGACCTTTCCTCTTCCGCTATGCATGTGCATATGCACATACATGCACGTACACGTAGGAACTGCCTCAGCGGAGAGAGCCCCACATGGACTCCCACAAAGCCCCCTCCCCATAGTAATCTCAGACATTTTCTTAAGAGAGAGAGAGCACAAGCAGGGGAAGGGGCACAGAGAGAGAGAGAGAGAGAGAGAGAGGGAGAGAGAAAGAATCTTAAGCAGGCTCCACACTCAGCAAGGACCTGGGGTCTCAGTCCCACGACCCTGGGATCATGATCTGAGCTGAAATCAAGAGTCAGACACCGGGAGCACCTGGGTGGCTCAGGTGGTTAAGCGACTAACTCTTGGTTTCAGCTCAGGTCATGATCTCATGTTTTGTGAG